CGTGTATGTATGTATGTATGTATGTATGTATGTATGTATGTATGTATGTATGTATGTATGTATGTATGTATGTATGTATGTATGTATGTATGTATGTATGTACCTGGGATGTTGTCGGTGCGCCTGTGCCGGTGACGGGTGCCGAAGCTGTAGGCCGGGTGGCGGTAGTGCGCTGTGGGGCCCACCTGCTCGGGGCTGTAGGCACCGGGGCCTGGGGTCTTGAAGGAGGAGGCGTCATTCTGCCTGGAGTAGAGCGAGTAGTGCGGGGTGCCGTCCTGGCCGTTACGGTACACCTGGGAGTGGCGGGAAAAACAGGTAGGTAGTGAAAACATACAGACAATGAAAAAAATTTTTTAACGGGTAGAAGGTGAAAACAGGTAGACAGTGAAAACAGAACACAGGCAGACAGCGAAAACATACAGCAGGTAGACAGTGAAAGTTAATACAGGTAGGCAGTGAAAAAAGAACACAGAACACAGTTAGTTAGTGAAAAAGAAAACAGACAGTGAAAACAGAAAACAGGTAGAAGGTGAAAACAGAAAACAGGTAGAAGGTGAAAACAGAAAACAAGTAGACAGTGAAAACAGAAAACAGGCAGGCAGTGAAAACGGGACATAGTTTGATAGTAAATACAGAAAACAAGTAAAAGGTGAAAACAGAAAACAGGTAGACAGTGAAAACAGAAAGCAGGTTTTCAATGAAAACAGGCAGTGGCGGGAGAACATGTAGACAGTTTTTAAAAAGAGTTTTTATTAAGAATTGTTGTTTTCCTTAAATTTTAGTAAAAGTTTTACACCACCTGCAACACAATAAAGTCATATAAGTGCCGAGGATTAGAGACACTATGAGAGAGTACACCAAAAAGAAGTAGGAGAAATCAGAAAGATTGGAAAGAAGGAGCGAACCGCACCAGAGCACGACCTGCCAACCACCCACAGGTAGACAGTGAAAACAGGTACACAGAAAAAAACAAGGTGAAAACAGACGGTGAGGACAGATAACAAGTAGATCTAGACAGTAAAAATAGAAAACAGTCAGACAAAGAAAACAGAAACCAAGCAGACTTGGAAAACGATCAGCGAAATATCTTGTTGGTTTGTTTGTGTTCGAGCGCTTACTTAAACTGCTGCTTACAGTGCATGCTTCTCTTGAAGCTTAGAATGTTTCTCTGAGTGTTCTAGGGTCTGCCGAGGTAATGATGTAAAGCATAGTGCTAGTTATTGTATTATCATCATCATCATCATCATCATCATCATCATCATCATCATCATCATCATCAT